GCCAGCGGGTGCCAGGGCCCCGGGGGCCGGCTGGGAGGACAGATGCTGTGCAGCCTCGGGCAAACCTCTGCCCTCTCTGAGCCTCAGACAAAGGAGAGAAAGTACATAACAGACAGTGCTGACCACAGGCCACAATCAGCAGTGGAAAATATTCCTGAGCCAAGGCCTGGCCGGAGGAGATCAGGGAAGGGAGAGCCCAGTTGGGCAGCCTGGAGGTAACAGGACAGGCTGAATTTGCCTGGGGGGAGGATGGTGAGGAGGTGAGAAGTTTGAAGTAGATATTCCCTTCTACCCCTCCAGAAATTCTTTCTAGAGAACTCTTTTCAAGGACCCAGTGGATAGGGTACAGACTTTTAGGAAATGTCTCCCTCTCTGTGCTCTACAGGCAAGGTGAGCCCCAAGCCGGCGAAACTGTCTCCCAGCTCGGTCCCCCTGCCAACACCCAGGGCAGTCACACCTTCTTTCCCAGTTTCTTCCAGAGCTGGTGCAGCTGCTCCCCCCAGATTCGCAGCTTGGGGTCTGAGATCTTCTGCAGGAACCGGGGGCTGGAAGAACACCAACCGAACCCCCAGGGCTCAGGGAGACAGCCCTCCCTGAAGGGCTCTCTCTCTGGTTTCTGTCCAGGCTGTACCTGTCCTTCCAGTCCTCAGGGGTCCAGGGCTGCAGCTCCTGCCCCGCGGCCTGGAAGTGTTCCTGGATGAAGGCACGAAGCAGTGGCGTGGGAATGCTGTGGTTGTGGCGGGCGGCCAGCTCCCGGAAGTGCTGCAGAACTCGGTCTGGGGTGCGGGTGGCCAGGAGGGATCAGCTGGCACCCAGGAGCCCCTCCCTGCCCGGCCCTGCGTCCCACTATCTTTGGTACAGAAGGTTCAGAAGGTGGGGCCCCCAGTCGCCTTACCTGGGGTCGAGGACAGTGGCATGTCCACAAACTGCTTGTCGTCCTGGTAGAGCTTCGCCATCTGAACCTGGTGCAGGAGCTCCCCGTAGCAGTAAATCCGGCTGCCAGGAGTGTTGGGGAGGGGAGCAGGTCAGGCCACCCCCGGGAGGGGAGAGAAAAGGCTGGAGTGTGGGCATGTTCCCTGGATCGGACCAGGGCTGTGTGTGTACGCACCTAGCATGTGTGTGTGCATGTGTGGTAGGCGTGTGCAGGTGGTGGTGACAAACCAGGCTGAGAGAATGAGGACACTCTGCAGTATGGGATGTAAACAGGTACCCAAGCCCACACCGGGTGGTCATTTGGAACAGTGCAGAATACCCAGCGGGAACAAGGAGACTACCACTGTCATCAGTGACTCGACAGAATGGGCTGGATGGATTCTCTGTACAGCGGGGCCTGTGTGAAAGGGATCAAAAGGGCTTAAGGCCAAATCCCGTAAGTTATACCCAGTGGCAATTGCTGAGACCTTGGACCAGAAAACCTGCAGGTGTGGGGCAGGATGTATGCCCCTTGGAAGACAACTACGGGCCTGCTGTTGGGTGTTTGTGGAAACCAGTTCTCTGACTGAAGGATGGAAGACATTCCTAAGGCCTGAAGTAGCTCTAATGTCCTGTCAGAGAAACACTCTGATAAAGAAGGCAGTGCCCATGGGTGCCCTGGTGGCTCATGATTTTTTTTGAAGTTTGTTTATTTTGAGAGACAGAGTGAGATCACGACCTGACCCAAAATGAGGAGTCAGACGCTTAACCGATGAGCCACCAGGCACCCTGTGACTTCACGATTTGTGAGTTCGAGCCCCACATGGGCTCTGTGTTGATAGCATAGAGTCTGCTTGGGATTCAATCTCTGCCTCTCTCTTTCTGCCCCTTCCTGGCTTACTCTCTCTCTAAATAAATAAATATTAAAAAAAAAAGTGGCAGTGCCCCCAAAGGGTTCCTCAATACAGTGGAAACGTTTTATGCAGGGATGTGCTATGTGGGGCTTCGTGGGCAAGTCATCTCCTTTCCTGCAGGACCATGGGAAGCACTGAGGAGCCACGGGGAGGTGCCCTGTGGACAGCTCTCTGTGACCAATAAAGAGCTGCTTGGTTACCGATGGCAGCTCCAAGGCAGACAGACAGTATCTTGTTTGGAAGGCCAATGCACTCCGACCAACTGATGGAAATCTTTGAAGCATGAAAGAACGAATCAGCTCAGTGGGCTGAACTGCATGCTGTTTCCCTTGCAGTGATGGAAGAAGTGAGTGCAAAAAGTCCCTAGGTTGGGGTTTTTACTGACTCACAGGCAGGGAAAAACTGGACTCATCAAGGGGATGCCCGTATGGGGCATAACCCTCGGGAAATCACTCTGGAAATTCAAGGGGCATGATAAAGTAGGCTTCACATACCTGATTATAGAGGAATATGCTTAAAATACTACATCGGAACAGAAGATACTGTGCCAATTTGGTCGGCACACAGTCCCAACAATGGACCGAGAGATCATGTCAAATGGACACATCATGTGGCTTATCACCTTCGGAGTGGTGGCTCCATACAGAATCGGAACAGGCAAATGAAACTTTTCTTGTTTAAAATGGGAAGGGGTGCCTGGGTTGCTCAGTCGGTTGGGCGACTGACTTCACTCAGGTCATGATCTCACAGATTTTGAGTTCAAGCCCCATGTTGGGCTCTGTGCTGATAGCTCAGATCCTGGAGCCTGCTTCGGATTCTGTGTCTCCCTCTCTCTCTGCCCCTCTCCCACTCACGTTGTCTCTCTCCTTCAAAAATAAACATTAAAAACTTAAAAAAAAATAATAAAACATGGAGAAATCAGGGCACCTGGGTGGCTCAGTTGGATAAGCATCTGACTTTAGCTCAGGTCATGACTCACAGTTTATGAGTTTGAGCCCCACATCGGGATCTGTGCTGACAGCTCAGAGCCTGGAGCCTTCTTCCGTTTCTGTGTCTCCCTTTCCCTCTCATATGGTCTCTCTCAAAAATGAATAAAACATTAAAAATTAAAATGGAGAGAAATAAAAGCAAGAGGGGCTGGCTTACATAGCTTCACAAGTGTGTGCCTTCACTCAGCATGGGATGAGGGCCAGAGGAGTGTCCCCACTGGATATATTCCTCTGGTTTTCCAGGGGATGGGTGGAGAGGTTGCTGGTGGGTCTATACAATTCTTTCCCACACCATCTCAACTTACCTTTTGCCTACACAGTGGACCAGACTGCCATGTGGTGCCAGAAGCATGAATGATCCCTGAGCAAGAAACTGTAGCTATCTTTTCAAATCTTTTTTTAAAATATTTATTTCTTTATTTTGAGCAGGGGGGAGAGGGACAGAGAGTGAGGGAGACAGAGAATCCCAAGCAGGCCCGAGTTGTCAGCACAGAGCCTGACGCAGGGCTTGAACTCACGATTCATGATATCACGACCTGAGCTGAAATCAAGAGTTGGATGCTTAACCAACTGAGCCACCCAGGTGTCCATCTTTTCAAATCTTTATGTCAGAATTCCCAAGGGCCTGGTGGGGCGACTTGTGCCCATAGCTCATTTGGCTAACTGGGGGCTAACAATGAATGCAGCTATACTCTCTAGTGGTGGGAATAGCCACTCATTCTGGGCCTTGTAACTCTATCCTGAACAGATGAGAGGAAACTAGGGAAGGCACTAGCAAGACTGGTATTGCTGTTGGCAATCTGGATAAGTACAGTGGCCAAACCTAATGTCTCTTCAAAGGTTGAAAAGTTTAGTGAAAATCAATGACAAATGGAAAGAAGGTAAATGACAGCCAGGGACTTAATCAACACAGATACAAACAAGATGTCTGAACCAGAATTTAGAATCACAATAATAAGAGTACTAGCCGGGGTTGAAAAAAAGCATAGACTCCCTTTCTGTAGAGATAAAATAAGTAAAATCTAGTCAGGATGAAATTAAAAATGCTATAACTGAGATGCAATCTCAAATGGATGCCAGGGTGGCAAGGATGGATGAAGGAGGGCAGCAAATCAGTGACATAGAGGACAAACTTCTGGAGAACAATGAAGCAGAAAAAAAAAGAGGGAAACTAAGGCAAAAGAGTACGATATAAGACTTAGAGAACTCAGTGACTCATTAAAAAGGGATAACATCCGAATCACAGGAGTCCCAGAAGATGAGAAAAAGGGGCAGAAAGTTTATGTGAGCAAATCATAGTGGAAAACTTTCCTAACCTGGGGAAAGACACAGACATCAAAATCCAGGAAGCACAGAGAACTCCCATTAGATTCAACAAAAATCAACCAT